AAGACAATAAAAACGTAACTCCCAATGAGGGTTATAAAAAAAGATTGAATGTCACTGGATTCTACTTAGTTTTAAAATGTAGTATTCGGCATAATCCAAATACTCTTTCATTTTTATAACCAGCTTTGATCTTTTAAAAGGAGACTATTTTCTCTTCTCCCTCACCACCTCCCTCCACCCCCCTCACATGTACCCATTACCAAAATTTAAAAAAAAAAAAGATTTCTATTAGTTGTGTGTTTAAAATATACTTGAGCCCTGGACGGGTAACTCAGTTGTTTGGAGCATTGTCCTCATATGCCAAGGTTGCAGGTTCAATACCCCGTCAGGGCACATACCAATGAATGCATAAATAAGTGGAACAACAAATCAGTGATATTCCCTCCCTCCCTCTATCAAATCAATTTAAAAAATTAAAATATCCTTGAGCCCTATCCTTAAATCTGTGGTATGCACAGTATTCTAGGGCATTAGGAAATTAACTTTATAGCCCTAGCCAGTCTGGCTAACTTGGTTGAGTGTCATTCCGTGCACCAAAATATTGCTGGTTTGATTTCTGGTCAGGTTCAATCCCTCGTTGGAGTGAGTACGAGAAGCAACCCCTCTCCCTCCTCTCCCTCTCTCTCTCCTTTCCTCTCTTTCTCAAATTAAAAAAAATTAAAAGAAAAGTAACTTTCTAGGTGGTACTTTGATTCTCAGTTATAATTTTTTTTTTTTGTATCTCATGATTTGTGAAATTGCTAACTGCTAGTTTTATGTGGTTCTTGGACAATCGTATTCTCAGAGAAGGATGTAGTATAGCAGAGTAGAAAGTACTTTGGAACCACACAAACATGGTTCAAGTGCTAGCTCTGGTCACATTTACTTCATCATCTTCGTTGTAACCCTCCGTCTTTGGGGCCCTCAGTTTTCATGTGGTGCTAAGAGTTACATAGGATGGGGGCAAGGTGGCCATGGTCCCTCTTACTCTGCTCCATAAATAGTCCATCTAAGTAAAATTGTTGTGCTTTTGTTTATATTTTGAGGTTCTCACCACCTCAAATATATGTACAAGCTAATAAGCATAAGCAGTGCGCTTACTGCTCTGTAAGAAGGGTTGGAACCAAATCCCCACACTTGGTGCCCTCTACTCCCTTCCATTTTGCCACCTCTGAACCCCTTGTATATAAAAATTCTGGTGCTATTGCTGCTCACTTTCCTTATCTGTGTCTTACCTATCTTTTGGGTATTTTGTAAGGATTTTTGATGATGAATGTAAAGCTCCTAGAACAGTGCCTATGACAGCAGACATTCAATCAATAATATGATTGTGTTTTGATGATTTTGTTATTGGATGCTTGATTTAACCCACAGTTACTGGTTGTGGACTGAAAATGCTCTATCAACTAGATGTTTAGCATTCCATTGCTTCAGTGGTTCTCAAATTCTATAATTCCAAGATGATCCTTCCTGTTGAATAGTCACTCTCCCTACCTAATCTTCTTTCTTGTTACTGTAAAATGAAACTGCTTTGGCCTAACCGGTTTGGCTCAGTGGATAGAGCGTCGACCTGCGGACTGAAGGGTCCCAGGTTTGATTCTGGTCAAGGGCATGTACCTTAGTTGTGGGCACATCCCCAGTGGAGGGTGCGCAGGAGGCAGCTGATCGATGTTTCTCTCTCATCGATGTTTCTAACTCTCTCTCCCTCTCCCTTCCTCTCTGAAATCAATAAAAATATATTTTAAAAAAATTTTAAATAAATAAAAACACTACATTTCCTCCACCAATCCTATTGAAGCAGTTTCTTTCTTTTTTAAAAATATATTTTATTGCTTTTTTACAGAGAGAAAGGGAGAGGGATAGAGAGTTAGAAACATCAGTGATGAGAGAGAATCATTGATTGGCTGCCTGCTGCATGCCCCACACTGGGGATGGAGTGTGCAACCTGGGAATGTGCCCTGACTGAGAATTGAACCGTGACCTCCTGATTTATAGGTAGATGCTCAACCACTGAGTCACCCCATCTGGGCAGTACCA